AGAATATTCAAACTATATATTGGTACACAGCAATATTTACCAACTAACCACCACATGTATGCTCTCTTCAATAATAAATGGTTTTGGTTATGTATCTTGTCATAATGGCAAAGATTTTTCTGTAATGATATTTAATTTTTCTAAATTTGCATACAGTTTAAGAGATATCTATCTATATTGCTGAAAATAAGTACATATTAGTTTGCTTTATTAAGCAGGAAAGTACTGTTAAATAAATAAACAAGTGACTCTACTGCTAATAAGGTATCAGTAGGTATGAGTGAGTCAGTTAAAAAAAAGTCCTTACTGACAAGTGAGGAAGAGTTCTCTGAAAACAGGAATGAGGAAACGAGCTGAAGAGATAAAATCAATACTTTGATGTTCCACATGTTTCAGAGTGCCACTGCAGAATGCTACTTCCAGTGGCACTTTGAGACTGACTGGTGACTCAATTTCCTCCTTGAACAACCAATTAAAGTTGGGTCCAAGCAGCCAGTGTCCAAGAGCAATCCTTACCCTCAAACTTAGTACTTGCCAAACAACAGGTGGCAGGATGCCCAGATTGTGACAGTACTCTGCTTGGAGACCAAAGGTGAAAGATTAGGAGAGAAGGTGGGATTTGATTAATTAGTGATTTTTAAAATTCTTTGGTCACTGAACCCTAATAAATAGACCTCTTTTTAAAAAGCCTGTTGCTTAATTCAACTAGCCCACAGAGATAGGTTAGGGAGTATTATAGGAAGTTATTTCCCCACTCTTATTTCTAGCTAATTCATTGGGCATCTGAAATAAATGTATATACAGTCTGATTCAAATGTAGGAAAATACATACTTAGAAGAACTTCAAAATGTTAACAGAGATTATGTCTGAATAGTAAAGATTTAAAAACTCTTGTTCATTTTTTCATTGCTATATTCTCCAAACTTCCCACAATAAACATGAGTTACTTATGCAATTGGGAAAAATATTAATGAAAGTCATAATTTCATAGAAAAATTAAGGAAATGGCTTTTGAGAATATTGCTTGTTCTACATTTAATCCAAAGTGTATTATCTTTGGTCCTATTGGTCTTCCATCAATACATTGTAATTATAAAAAAGTATCCTTTGGTCAAATAAACTTAGTAAACACATAGCATCTAGCATGCAGTAGTTAATTAGCAGACAATAAGCTACTATTTAATTATGTTAGGAACACTACTGTTGGCTAAAGACATGAGCATTAATAAAATTGTCCCTTGAGGAATTCACAGTCTACTAAGGAATATTCACATATCCTATTACAATATAATACAATAAAATGTGTGCTTTAAAGAGGTAAGGACAAAACAAGCCTACAGCATTTAATTTTTGAAACAGTATTTTCCACTTTCAAGGACAACCAATCTTATTAAAGGGCAAAAAACGTTATTAAAAGTTTGAAAACATAAGTATAGGGTGATTTCATTCCTTCAAAAGCAACTCAAAGTTCTATTGCAAAATTCAAATGTGAGTCCTTCTGTATCCATGCTTATATTTCTAAACAGTTTTACAGTTTTTCTAAGTGCTTTTTATACACCTAACCCTTATAACAACCCAAAGAGAAGCAGGGGAAACAGTCCCCTTTTATGGATAAGGAACCTAAGGCTTATTCCAAAGGCTAACTAGTGGCAAGTCCAGAATCTGACTCAGGTAATTATGCCTTCATTGCAAACATAATAAAATACTCATTAAGGGTTTCAATTTATAGCAATTTAGGTGTATATACTATACACACATATAATGACTAATGTTTCAATCTTGTAATGGTCATACATCCGGTTTACATGAAATATCAGATATGTGCAGTTAGGGTGACAGAGAATTAACCCAAATGTTAGTGAAATGGACAGAGAGGCTTAGTGGTTGCTGTTATCAGTGTCCAGCAATAAAAAACAAGCAAGGAGTTGACTCCTTCCTATTCTATTATTTTCCGGAAATAGTATCTTGAGTTACAAAGTGTTTTTTAGTAAATACCTCCTTTATCACTCTGGATACATCTCTATTATTTGGTGCACATACTCAACAAAAGTGTATTAAGCACTAACACATAAGAACTTACTACAGTACATTAGGGACTTACTACAGTGCATAAGGACCATCACGCAGGTAAACAGATTTCAAGATATTTAGTTTCTCGTGAAAGGTTCAGTTACATCTTTGAACATACAAATGCTGATGGCACATTTACAAGTAATTACCAATGGAAATTTTTATTTAATGGGTGAAATTGAAAAAACTGAAATGACTTAATATCTAGGAAGAAAATATTTGTAAGGTATTTCCAAAAGTAAATGAGAATTATGAGATATCACCTCATACCAGTTAGGATGACCAACATCAAAAAGACTAGAAACAACAAATGCTGGTGAGGATGTAGAGAAAGGGGAACCTCCTACACTGCTGGTAGGAATGTAAATTAGTTAAACCATTGTGGAAAGCGATATGGAGGCTCCTCAAAAAACTAAAAATAGAAATACCATTTGACCCAGGAATTCCACTCCTAGGAATTTACCCAAAGAAAACAAGATCCCAGATTCAAAAAGACATATGCACCCCTATATTTATTGAAGCACTATTTACAATAACCAAGATACAGAAGCAACCTAAGTGTCCAACAGTAGATGAATGGATAAAGAAAATGTGGTACATATACACAATGGAATACTATTCAGCCATAAGAAGAAAAAAATCCTACCATTTGCAACAACATGGTGGAGCTAGAGAGTATTATGCTCAGTGAAATAAGCCAGATGGAGAAAGACAAGTACCAAATGATTTCACTCATCTGTGGAGTATAAGAACAAAGCAAAAACTGAAGGAACAAAACAGCAGCAGACTTACAGAACCCAAGAGTGGACTAGCAGTTACCAAAGGGAAAGGGTTGGGGAGGGTGGGTGGGAAGGGAGGGAGAAGGGGATTAAGGGGTATTATGATTAGCACAAATAATATAGGGGGGCACAGGAAAGGAAGTATAGCACAAACAAGACAAGTAGTGACTCTATAGCATTTTACTATGCTGATGGACAGTGACTGTAATGGGGTATGTGGTGGGGATTTGATAATATGGGTGAGTGTTGCTCATGTGAAATATGAGCATAAGATTGTTTATCAATGATATCTTAAGTAAAAGAAAAAAATAGAAATACAAAAAAAATAAGTAAATGAGAATTAGTGATCTAGCTTATCCTGGTTTTGATACTTGCTATGTTGATCTATTACACATTTTTTAAACCTCTATGAAATGCTAGTTTTATTCCCCTGTAAAGTGTCACAAATTTTCAAAGATTAACATGATGTATTTCTTCTAAAATAAAATTTAGATCATCCATAATTACAGTTTGGTTGGCTTTTTAAGAGGGCCTAGTTTTATTTTAGTTTGGTTTGGGTTTTTATTAAATACACTTTTCTTTTTTTAAATCAGTGAATGCAACTGTAGTGTATACCACCTATATCCAGAATAGGACTACTACCATTGAAAATTGCTTTGATGGCAACAGCTTAAACATTAGAAGTTGGTTTTGGCCTTAATGGTTGAAGCAACAGTAGGTATACGTTATCCCACAGTTTACCTATATATCTATTAAAACACAGATAAACTAAATAAGCAATAACTTGGCATTTAACTGGTGACCCCTTACAACCTTTGATGCTTTTCACGACTGGCAGACTAGCATAACCACTTAAGTCTCTCTTTAGAACTATGTTTAACTATTAAAATTATACAGCTTATACAGAAGAAAACTAATGTATTATGTATTTTTGTGATATTTAAAACCTTATTCCTGGCCATTTCTTGTTAGAAAAGGAGTTGTGGAACTAAGTCAAGTTTTGGATTGTAAACTCCCTTCAAGCATTATATTGTATCCCAAGCAATTTTAACCTAGTTCAGCATTCATCTCTAAAGAACAGTTAAAAATTGAAATAACTCAATTTCACATTTTATACATCAAGCTCGAAATGAAATACAGACACATCACTACACAATAATGAAGAGACAAAGGTTTGGCCTGCTGTCTGGGAACTTTGAGGACGGACTACCTAGGCTCCTTTTAAGAAGACACTTTTCCAGAAGAAACTTGTTTTCTTGAATCAATACTGTACTGTCAAATTAAATCATCATTTTGTCTTTTGGAAATTTAGGTGTCATCGCTGGGGTGTAGGCNAGGCTCCTTTTAAGAAGACACTTTTCCAGAAGAAACTTGTTTTCTTGAATCAATACTGTACTGTCAAATTAAATCATCATTTTGTCTTTTGGAAATTTAGGTGTCATCGCTGGGGTGTAGGCTTGGGGTAAAAAAAAAAAAGTGCAGGTTTGCAGCGTTGGGAACTAGGACGCTCCAGTTTTGTCCCAGTTCAGCCCAAGCTCTACCTGTGACCTTGGGAGGTGTCCCCAGGTCTGGGACTTCCTTTCTTAATTATCAGTACCCAGAGAGCGGGGTCGAGGCGGAGAGGGTGCCCCAGACCCCGGGGGATGCAACACGCTCGGTTCTCGCAGTTCCTCATCCCTGGACGGGCGTCACCGCGCACCTCCGCACAGGCTCGGCCACCGGCTCGCTGGGCGCAGTCCGTCCCTGGTTCCCCCGCCCGGGTAACCCCCGGCTCTGCCCGGCGCTCGCCCCTTGTGACCCGCTCCTCGGAAGGGACCTTGCCATCATCCTTCCATCCGCCGAGAAACGCTCCGTCTACCCTTCATTTTCACCCTGGTCTTTCCTTTTTCAGGGAATCCCGGGCCCCGCCACACTCGAGAGATTCCCCCCTTGGCTCTGTCTCCAGACCCCTTTCCTGCCCTCAGGAGACTTCCCCTGCACACCGTCTTCACCGCCGAGGGGGGTCTCTATTCACGCATCCCCATTCTTCCTCAAACTCTCACGTTTATTCCACCCGCCTGTTTTGTGCAGAGCTCCAAAGGACCCTCATCTCCAGTCGGAGAGAAAAGCTTCCCCCACCTCCGCCACCGGGTTTTGGGGACCCCTCTCACCTCCGCGGTGAGAGATGTGTTTACTGAGGAATCTCTGCTTCTTTCTCGGGTGCAGCAAGGTCGGGTATTTGAGCAACAAAAACGAGGTTACCAAGTACCCTCCCAGGGTGGAGAGAAGGTAGAAGACCGCGGTGGACGACATCTCCGCCACCGTGCGGGAAGTCTCCCACCTCCGGGCCCTCTGAACTCCGCTGCGGCGGTCGCAACGGCGGCGACGGCGGCTCTAGGTTGCTCGCCCCCAGGCGGTGCCAGCGGCGCAGCGCTCTTGTCCGCGCTGGCTCACCACGCAGGCGCAGGGGGGCCCTGCCGCACGAGCAACAAAGAGGCTCCGGCACGCAGGCGCGCCCCGGCTGCTGGGAAGGAGCCTGCGGAGGTCTTGTAGTGAGCGCTGGTCGCCTCGCTTTGTGGTTGGACCCTCTGCACTTCCGAGGGCCTCCAAAGTGGGGTAAAAGCTTCGGAAGACCCTGCCGATGCCTTCGCCCTCACTCAGGCAGAAGGAGCTACTCAAGGATAGCCTTCACGAAGGCCTGACATAATTAGAAAATCCGCATCAAAACGGAAAGATTCCAGGGTGCATCTAGGAAACCCAGAGAGCTAATACGGATGGAGGAGTTAATACTTGCTAAAACAAGTAGTAAGCCAAATCCATTTGTCTAGCCGAGAGAGAACGTCCACTGGTGTCACACATACCATGAAAGGCACTAGTTTATCAAATATTTGAGAGACAAACTCGTCTCTCATTTTACTGTGAAAATGCAATCCCCATGCCTTGTAGGCTGTCAAGAAATGTTTGTTGACTTATAAAGTTCATTTAAAGTAAGAAAACGCTGGCAGAGTTATACGTTATCGCTTAAAAATCTTAGGAAGACTGGAAACAATTCCATAAGGCTGAACCGGTTTCCCTTTCGACCCACGCGTTCCAAACTACTGCTCTAAGAGCCACGTTTAAATCCAAAAGATTTAATCCAGGGCTGAGGGAGAAATTCTGGCAAGAGTTAAGTCTCCCACAGAAGTAGATGGCAGAGAGATTATTTAAAATCTTGTGATTCTTGACTCTGACCTTAAGCAAGAGTCTGTTTATCTGTAAAATGAGGAAGTTTTTACCAAATGGTATCTTCCAATTTTCACATTGTATTAATGAACTTGGTTCCCAAAGTTTCTAGCTTTCTTTAAGAGTAAATAAATTTAGAAGATTCTTGAAAACAGGAGCCTTCATTAGACTTTAAAAAGTAGCTGAAACAGACTTTTGTATCAGTGTGCCATGATTAGTAGTCTATTTCTTGATCTAACTTCAAAGTACCTAAAGAAATATCAAGGCCTTTGTATAAGAATACGAACTAAGGTTAAGAATCTTCAAACACACCCAACTTAAAACATTTTAAGGAAACTCACAAGTTGAAAACACTGCTTTGTTGAACAGACACATTGTTAAGTATCTGTTTAGGACTGTCAAACTATATCCTATAGGTTAGCTGATACATATATTTGTTTCCCTTTTCCAAATCTCACCTGATAGCAACTATTCTTTAAATTATATGACTACTATTTATGATGAGTAGTATATATCAAAAATATCAAATCTGTGTAACTAAGAATATTTAACCTTCAAATATAGAGGCATTGGTGGCTTCATAGAGTCCTGAACTTAGAATCTAAAAGGGGTTCAGAACATGCCTCCCCAAAATGTGCCACTTTGGCACGTGGACTATTTTGAGCTGAGGTAATCAAGACCCCAAGGGCATAAGGAAAACTTATGCCCCTCCTATAACTACCTAAAAGAATTTAAATTGAGGGGTTTTCTCAGAATAGCAGTTTTTACCAGAGATAAATTTTATCTGAATGACCCATCTGTACGGCAGGGCAAATCTGTGTAATTACCAAACATTTGCTCTTTATTGCCTGTGGACTGCCCTCGACCCTGTTTTTTGTTTCTTGTTTTTTTTCATCTCCAAATAATAAAGGTCTATTGTGTTCTGTTTTGTTACACAAAAGTTGGCATTAGGATTTCATATAAGAAAAATTTGGATCAAATCAGTGTAGTATCATGAAGAGTTCTTAACGAGTTAGAAGTAGTTTCTTGTCTTTGTTCACTGTTTCTGGGCCTCAGTTTCTTAGTTTCTCCATCCCTATGAAGAAGGAGTTGGACTGGAAGACTTCAGATTGTATAATCCTGTGCCCATATTTTCAGATGAACCTTGGTACCAGAGCCTTTTGGGAGCTCCATCACATAGACACAGTTGACTGCCCACCTGCTTCCCTCCGCTTCGAAGTTCCAGACCCTTATTCCATTCCTTAGCTCAAGGTGGCATTTATACCTCATTTTACCTTTCTGTCTTTGAACCTCTTATGTATGTAGGGTTCCTGTATGTGTAAAATTAAATTTGATTTTCTCTTGCTAATCTGTCCCATATCAATCTGATTCTTAGACCAGCAAGAACTTTGAAGGGTAGAGGAAATTTCTGCCTCTCAAGAAACGCATAGACGTAGCTATACCATTTACAAGCTGACTGACTTTGGGTGCATCACTTAATTTAAGCCTCAATTGCCCCATCTATAAAATGGGGATAATAGTATCTAACCTCATAGGGCTGTTTTGAGGATCTAATGAAATGAAATGAAAGCATTAAAAGTATCCTATATAAGTAAATCATTATGTCAGAAGGAGAATTTTTTTCTCTAAAATATTACAAACATATTTGGGGAAAATATACAAAATTATTCAAAATAAATAACCAAGCAGCAGCATGCAAACCATATTGGAAGCTCAAGAGCATTAAAGCTAATGAAAGAACAAGCAAACTGTAATAGAAGAGCATCTTTTGAATCTTGCACTATATGATCAGATATGTCTTCCAAGATGAAGGAGATCATATTTTGAGAGAAATTTACAAAGGGTGCCAAAGTTAATAAGACATTATTTAAACCAAGAAAAGAAATTAGTACAAGCAATCAATTATCATGGGGGAAAATGTTGAAAAAGAAAAGGTGTCAGACAGCCTGTTTCAATGGGTCTGGAGAGATTAACTACTTTGCCCAAAATGACACAGTTAGTGGCTGATTTTGTAACAGCATAGTTTAACTCTCTGTAGGACAATTTAGCAATATGTATCAAACTGTAAAATGTGTATATTCCTTGAACCATCAATCCTAGGTCTAAGAGTTTATTCTGCAAAGAAAACCTCACAAGCATTAATAAAGATGTAGGCACCATGGTGTTCCATCACTGTTTGTAGGAGCTCTAGATGGGAAATAATCTGAATATCAAACAATAAAGACAGATTATGTAAACTATGATAAAGGAAAATGATGCAGCCATTAACAGACTTTCATTTATTGACATGAAAAATATCTACCTTGTATGCTTGAGTGAAAAAGAGATTACAGAACAGAGATGTATTTTGATTACAATTATGTAAAATTGAATATATGTCAATATATGTATATATGCATAGAGATGTCTAGATGGGTATTCACTAAAATGTTGCAAATGGTTGGCAGAGCACTAGCAGAGAGGTGGAATTTCAGGGAGCTCTTGGTTTAAAAAAAATTCTTAAACAACAGATACAATGACTACATTTTTATAAAAACAACAAACGTATGCCCCAGAACAAAAAACAATGTTTTAAACGGTATGAACAATTTAGTCTTACAATTATATCGAGAAAACAGCTAGGATAAAATATAAATATCACTGAATGCCAAGTACATAAAACTTAGTAGGAGAAAGGAGGTATTAACTGCTGTGATATAGTCCTCTAAGAGTGTTTGGTATAAAAAGGAATCATGGGATATAATTTACACTTTAGAAATTTTTCTTATACCTATTCAAACAGAAATGTTTATTGCTATACCTATGGATAGGATTATTTTTTATTTTTAGCATGGAAAAATATTTAAATTGTATTTAGAAGACAATCAGGTCTGAGCTATCAGTTATAAACAGACAAGGAATAATAGCTATCCCTTATATTTATTCAACAGTTTAGAGTTTGTAAGCACTTTAATGAATATAATCTTTAACTGTTAGAAACCATGATTATCCTTTGAGATAAGGGAATTATTTTTTTTATCCCCATTTTACGGATCAGTAAGCTGAAGCTTTAGATGGGATCCAAGGCTAAGAGATGCAGTTAACTATTTCAAGATAGCAACCAATAACCTGCTGTGCTAACTTAAATATTACTAAGAGTTTTGAAAATTAAGCATAGACTATTAGCTGGCCCTTTTGCCATAATTTGGCATAATGTGCAAAATTATGCAGTGTTCCAAAAACTGAAGTTTTATTTGCCACATTGTAGGAAAGGCACAAAGTTGTTGAGACAGAACAGAAAAACAGCAATTATATGGCCAAAGGATTTAAGAGGTTGCGTTATATGAAGCATACACTGACAAAAACTAAACCCAGTTTGTAAAAGACCACAGAAAGATACAAGAGGAAACAGACAAACTGCTACATGTCATGGTGCTTACCACAGTGTTTTGTATGTATTAGGCAGTTTACCTGATTATAAAAGGTAGGACTAATACTAACCAGGACTTAATACCACCTCTAACACTATTATGATACCTTTAAAAAGTAAATTTAAGATGAATTATAATTATTATCAAGATTTCATTAATGTATCCCTCTATTAGGAGCCTTGTATATACACCTTTAATCCTCACAGTCACCCTTTGTGATAAACAGAAACTATCATTACCATTTTAGAGAAAATAATACTCAAGGATTAGGTAAAACTGTCCAGATTTCCTAAGTGATGGAGTCAAAATTTTTGGCTTCAGTGTATTACAGAACTATTTTAAACAGGAGAAAATATGGAATAGGAGGGAGTTTAAGAATGAAAAGTCTTGACACAGTTTGAGAGAATCAAGATTCAGTCTTAAAAGAAACTAAGATGTTTTGGGCCTACCACACCTGATCTTTCTAATGTTAGAAATTCACCCATTCACACTTCTTATGACCAGAGTTAAAATATTCAGTTGGAGGAATTGGCATGTAGTTTTCATTCTTATATTTTCTAAGAGCAGAACATAGAAAGAGTACAGATGTGAAATCAGAGCCCTCAATTTAAATTCTGACTTTGCTTCTCCTTAGCTATGTGATGTTTGACAAATTATTTAACCAATTCATGCTTTAATTTCCTGACCTATGAAATAGGGATAATATCTATTGTGCAGTGTTTTGAAGATTAGAGGAAATGTATGCAAAATGCTTAGTTAAGTACCTAA